ACTATGCACCTTCTTAACCAAGAGATCATCTTTTACATTAAATAACAATCTCTCTCTTCCAAATCAGTACCCATCCTATGTAACATTATTGAGACAATATCATTGTTGATGTCCTAGTTGGCTGTCCGAAGTGGGTGTTTGGGTCTATTGAGCAGACTATTCCAATTACAAGGAGTTATAGGTATACGATGTCAGCCACTTCAGATTGATTTAAGGGTTCAACGACGACGCCTGCAACTTCAGGGCACTGATCCTTAAAGGCAGTGGCGGCATCAAGCCTTAGGCAGCCCAGGCGCTGGCCTAGGCTGTGAGCCTCGTGTGCTTCGTTAACTTGACTGCAGCTGCAGAAAGGTTGCCTGAGTCATGGCATGATCCTACCGCCGCTACTGCTTAAGGGCACATGCACGAAGACTTCTCAACTGTCATCGACAAGGCCATGCCCACTTTCATAGGAGAGCGGTGATAGTGACGCGTCGGCAACTCGTTTTGATGGGAGCTTTGCTATTCCTACCGAAGTGTAGCTATAAAATTTACGTAAATGATGAAATGGCCTTATTTGATTGGATGGCATGGGGCCCCGCCCTAAAAATTGGGGGGAGGGGGGGGGGTTAGGAAAAAAAGATGACTCATGCAAGTCTTGTACTCCCTCCGTTCGAAAATACTTGTTGGAGAAATGAATAAAAAGGGGTGTATCTTAGAACTGAAATACGTCTAGATACATCCATTCCTCTGACAAGTATTTCCGGACGGAGGGAGTACTATTTAACAGCACGTAGGTGTAGCATTTTTGTTTTGATGGCCACAATGGTCCTTCAGTTCGGTGGCTTAGGGGGCTCAGTGTAATTTTTATTATATTTATTGTTTGAACTTTTATACACTAGATAGATATGTTTTTTGGGGGGAAAAGAAAAGAAAATGAGAGACTTACAGTAAAGCGCATATTTTCTTTCTGTCGTTTTTGTGCGATAGAGAGAAAGATAGATTGGAGTTGGAAAGCGAGCGGACGAGTCGACCGGGACTATACTGCAGGATATGTAGCCGGTGGGTGAGTCTCTCCACCACTCGGCCGGGTGCTGGCGGACGGTGGCCAAACGCAGCTACCGCGCGCTTCTTGCGGCCGCCCTCCGTCCGTCTTTCGGCCACCGTGTCACTCACGTATCCTTCCTTCTCCACGGCCAGGGCTAGCCGCCCCGCCCAGCTGCTATCAGCGCTGCTCCATGGAAAATGCAGTCGAGCGCTGACCTAGATCGTTAAACAGCGGGCCGTACCGTCCAATGAATCCTAGGTTTCAGAGTTCAGCCCCAACACGCGCGATCGTTTGTCGCTGTCGGCGTCTATCAACACACAGAGCATCCCGTTTAAGCGACGGGGCTTATAACGGAGTTTCATAATACTTCATTCACTCGGGTGACGGTGTATACGTGATTACGATATACAGTATACAGTTTATACACGACATCATGTTTTAGTTAAACTTAGACCCGTTACCCATGTCTTCTAGTTCCTTCTTTCTAGGTGATCCGGCGCTGTCGCCAGTCCCGCGTTTTGCTTTTCTTTTAAGTGCTACAGTTTTCCTTTAAGTAAATTGTCAAGGAGTGATACTGTACATAGGTCCCGACTGGAGCCAAACCAAACGAAAACGACAGAAAGGAGGCATACTCTCTGGGCATTAGGCTGTTTTATTAAGTACGTATAGTACTACTGCTTGACTCTTGCAGCACGCCAACTTTTAGCTCCATCTGTGATCCAGCACTCAAGTCGGTCATGTAAGAGCATGGTTAATAGCACAGCCTGCTGCTGGCTATAAGCCCCTGCCACATCATCTATAAAGCCTTCCCACACAATAAGCTGGCTTTTAGCTTGACTCTAAGACTGACCCTAATAAAGACATGGATGGACATTTGATATTTGCACCTGTTGTGATCCAATACATACAACATCTTTGTGGCCATTTCAATCAGCATATATCTGCCATTCATTCCAATAGGATATACCGGATATACCAAAAGAAACTGATCAATATTCAAGCAATTTTAATAATCATGTATGCATATATTCCATTCATGCCAATAGAACAGACCAAGGAAAACTAATTAATAAACAAGCAAGAAACAAGTACGCATAGCACCATGACAAAACAGTTGAACATTGCTTGAGTCTTTCCAAGGAAGCATTAACCAAACATAGAACTAAATAAGACGCCCGGCAAACAAGCCGTTAGTTTTAATCTTGACGTCGACGATCAATAAACTGATGGCGCATAACACCATGACATCGACACTTAAACATTACAACCCGTCTTTTTAAGAAAACATTAACCAAACAAGAGACAATGCAAATAAGCCATTAGTTTTGATGGTAAATGGAGCAACGAATCCATCTGCATCAACAATCTTCAGCCACTGTATGAAAAAAATGGAAACAGAGCAGATGGTAAATATTTTCGCATGAATGCAAAAGATGATGAGATGAAGATGGCATGCTCATGATAGTAAGAGTTGCATTATGATTCACTATTGGGTCAGCCATAACTATCCATGCTCAACTTTAATTCTTATCTACTTCACAAATCTTACTTCATGTCATACACAGATGGTACCTCATATGGTTCACTAGAAACGATAGCTGGAAGTAAGTTTCAGGTATTACTTTCTTTTACTTTGAAGCCTATTATAGGAGCAATTTTTAAACAAACAACACACTCAGATCCAACGACTACAAGGCTACAACTTCTGTAATCCAACAACTATACATGTTCAGTAAAATCAAGTACATTGCCAATAGGAAGAGGAACAAGCTATAAAAGACTAAACTGTAAGTAGAGAATGCATACCAGTAGGTTGCACATGCAGCAGTCACCACGACACGGCATAGTCCTGGAATAAAATGTATGTAAGATATAATGTTGATCCTCCATTAACAGGAAGGAAAAAAGAATAGTAACATGCAGATGTCAATATCCCACCGTGACTAATTGTGATGCCTATGCCAAATATGCTCGACCAGATCATTTTTAAGTTGGTTATGTTGTGGACGAGCACGGATGGTAGCTTTCCTACGCAGTACATAAGCAAAACAAAGATTACCACCAACATTCACTTCAGGGGGTAGAGCAAATGAAGCCCCTGGAATCCAAGTCAATATGAACGTTAACTTGCTCTCTCTCATCTTCGACTATCATGTTGTGGAGAATCATACATGCTCGCATGATCCTTCCAACACTCTTTCTCTGCCATAGTCATGCAGGTCGGCGAACAATGGTAAATCGGGACTGCAATACCCCAAAAGCACGCTCCACATCTTTCCTTGCCCCTTCTTGGTACTTGGCAAATAACTTATGTTTATCTATTTGGGGAAGTGGTATGGTCTTCATGAAGGCAGCCCACTCTAGGTATATACCATCGGCAAGGTAGTAACCCGTGCTATACTCATTTCCATTGACTGAAAACTGAACTTGAGGGGCTTCTCCTTTCAAGGCATCAAAAAACAGTGGGGACTGGTTGAGCACATTAAGGTCATTGTTTGACCCAGCAATTCCAAAGAAAGCATGCCAAATACGAAGGTCCTGGGAAGCAACGGCTTCTAGGATCATTGTAGGCACTCCATAATCGCCACGGGTGAATTGCCCCCTCCATGCTAAAGGACACTTCTCCCATTGCCAGTGCATGCAATCAATACTTCCTAACATTCCAGGAAAACCACGAGACTCGTTAACCTGAAGCAAGCACTCAATATCCTCTCTTGTGGGGCGTCACAAGTATTCCCCGCCGAACACCGCAATCACACCCCGTGCAAACTTGTCCATACACTCTAATGCAGTGGACTTCCCAATCTTCAAGTACTCATCAAGGGCATATGCAGGGGTGCCATACGCTAGCATGCGCATGGCTGCAGTACACTTCTGCAATGGTGAGAGGCCTATTCGGCCAGAACAATCTGCCCTATAAGTGAAATAGGGAGACCACTGACCAAGAGCATTCACAATGCATAGGAAGAGGTGTTTATTCATGCAAAATCTTGTACGAAACATACTCTCGTCGTAGAGTGGATCAGCAGCAAAATAGTCCTCCACCAAACGTTCATGAGCACCTCCATGATCCCTTCGAATGATCTTCCTTGGACCACTTCATCGCTGAGATGATCCAGCTGAAATCCTAGCCTTGATCTTCATCATGAGCCGCTCAGCGAAGGAGTCCAGGACGGTTTGCTCAGCAACATACTCTTCCATGATTTTGGATGTGGCTAGTTCATCAGAGTCATCTGAGTATGATGATGAATCCGACATGGTGGGTGAGGAAGATTGGTTTGTAGGCTGAGCAGGAAGATGAGAGGTATGGGAAGGAAGATGGGTTTGGGTGGATGAGTCTAAACCTGAGATGGGGCATTATATAGATGTCTCAAGTGTCCTGAGTGTATAATTATGGTTGCATGGTTATCTAGAATGCACTGTAGTTAAGTGTAATTTGACTATTGACTACATGATTTTTTGCACTTCTACATGGTTATCTGGAATGCACTGTAGTTAAGTGTAATTTGACTATTGACTACATCTTAAATGTCAACAATTTCAGCAGAGAACAAACATGTATTTGAGCACAAAACAATTTCAACAAAGATTAATGCATAGATACTTATATTTTCAGCACATAAGAATTTCAGCAGTGATGATGTGATAAATAAAGTCAAACTTATCTAAGGCAATGGACAATAGGAAATACCTTAGTCAGTTTTTCCAAATAGCTTCTCCCTGAAACACTTCAATGCCAACATGTGCTCGGATCTCACATCTTCGGACATCCTACTTGTGTCTTGCATCATCAAGGAGCGGTATGTTTCTAGCATGACCGACTCCTTGTGATCTTTTGCTGCAAGGCATGCAAGTTTCCGAGCCTCAAGATTCTCACTGGACACACGCCTTTGTGTCTCTAACATCTCTTTGCGGACTTCATTTGCTGCATTCTGAGCATCTAAAAACTTGCTAAGCTCATCTTCAAGATCTATTATACAACCTTCGTCCTTTGTTTTTCGTTTCCTTTAGCTGTCTTGCCACCCGGTGGATGTTCCTCTTTATCATCATCTAGAGTGAAACGTTGCCCCACTTCATCATCAACACTAAACTTCCTCTTGTCCGGCTCCACATATTCCAGGCGTTCCAAATATGCATCCCATTTTGGTTGCTCTTTTAGAACTACCCAACAATGCTCAAACATAAATGGACCGTCTTCTGGGTGATCTGCCTCATAAGTTTGCATTGCCCTCTTCTTTAAATCAGCATCAGATTCACCACTAGCATACAGTGCACTAGCTTCCTTGTAACTCCCACAAAACCATGCAACCCTTTTCTTAATTCTCCCAAAGCGATCCTTCACTTGCTTGACTAGCCTTTCCCTGTTTTGGGGGGTGGTACTATTGTAGACAGCAGCAACTTCATTCCAGTATTGGTCGTTCTTCTTGTAATTTGATTGGATTGGATTGTTTGAATTATTCAACCAAGCACCAACCTACAATATTACCAAAAGAGGTTTATTCTTTTCCTAGTAATGTAACACATGGAGACCAACATGGAAAAAAGCTTACGAATCTAAGATCTTCCTCTTTTGTCCACAGCAAGCGCTTTTCAGTCCTTGCACACTCGCCACCATTGGTGGCATCTCCTTTCTTGATTTGTTGCGATAAAGTCCCATTGCTCACAGCTTGTGAAAGGCTTGGCGTGTTCTTAAAAAAACCAAGGAACCCACCAGGTGGGTGAGAATCTACTACCCTGCCGAGACAATACTAGATGATCAAACAATGGACTTCATATTACAACAGGGTTTCATAAAAAAAGACATCACATTTAAGCAAAGAACATTTCTGTAGATAGGAACTATGACAACATACTATAGTACAAATCATACAAACACACACGGACTAGTTATCACATTATCACACATAGACTAAAATTTACATATAACCCCGGGAACCAAAGTGTGAATGATTATTAGTAGTTTAGTACACTGCTAACTTGCTTCCATTTGTAATTTTTAAGATTGATTAGGCAGTATTCTAATCTACTGAAATATAAGGAAGGCTTTCTTATTACTAGTTAAGTACAGTACAAAGGCCATCAAGGAGACTAGCGTGCTGGTTAGTTATAAGAAAATTAATTAATTCATTAGGGGAAATTCTAAATGTTCAGAGTTTTAGATAAGATGGGTACCCTTATTTGCTTTCTGTTTCTGTCATAACCATTTTTAAATTACAACAGCTGAGCATCATATCAAATACATGTGGATTCATATCATACAGAAACGCATAGCTGCATATCATGCAAATATTTGACAGTTTGACACCAACAAAGACCATCTGCATGTTCAGAGTTTAGATAAGCAGAAAAACAAATGTATCACATAGCAGGCTAGCATTGCATGACAGTACTAACTAACCAGATATGCGTAAACAGGTGAATAGATGTATCAAACAGAAGGCTATCATAGCAAGACTGTACTAGTAAACAGGGGGAGAACACATACCATGCTTCTGGATTCAGATCATCAACATTCGTGTAACACAAAGGGCCTTGCGTCTGGGGGAGCCAGCATGGTGCAGAGGCTGCCGCTGCCTTTGGTGGCTGTGGAGGAATCGAGGCACCTGGTCCGGGCTGGCGTGGCGGCGGGACGAGGTGTGGCGCCGACAGCGGCGGGACAAGGTGTGGCACCGACGTCGGGACGAGATGCGGCATCAACGGCGGAAGGAATTGAGGCAGCGACGACGGGATGACCTGAGGCGTCGGTGCACACGTCCTTTTGGACTGCTGACCCATCTCCTTGATGCGGCGCCGGCGGCTGTTCTAGGTTTTGGGGTGGTGGCGATTTGGGGGAAGCTGGAGACTTTAAAGCTTCGATTTGGCGTGCACCAAGCGATTTGGAGCGAGGGAAAGATGGATTCCGCGCGCGAAGGTGGAAGGAGAAGCACATGAGGCAAGGGAGACGCACGGGATCGGAAGCGGCGGCGCTAGCGCTTGCATCGGGCTGCAAGCGGGCGGAAGGCTCTCGTGTTCTGTGTCTTAGCCCAGCGCTTCACGAAGAGACCGCTCCTTCTCTCTTCTTTATTTTTTTCTCTCCAGCTCAGATTTTTTGCTGATGTGGACTCTGTTGCAGCCTGCTGAATAGGACTATTGTACTTGCTCTGATGCAGCAGCAGCATAGCACCCAACTGGTATCTGGAATCTTGTGTGAATAGAACACTTTCCACTTAGTACTCCTCGGTGTCTGGATTTGTTTTTGTAGACCAATCGGTGATTCATCTTCTCGTGTAGAAATGGCGGGTGAAGATGAGCGAGGCTACTGGCGGCTTAGCCAGGTCGCAACGGTTGTGGTAGTGGAGCGATTTGGAAGTGGCCGGTTACAGCGGCTCAACGAGGCAGCAGAAGGCGGCTATGCCCTTCAGGGCGAGTCGGAGTGGAGGCGAAATGGGGCCGGGACGGCTCTGTGTGGCTACCGCCAAGGAGGCCCGCGGTGAAGCGAAGTAGAGACCCTGACGATGCAGAGGTAGAGCCGGCCCGAGATGGAAACGAGGCTGTGGCTGTTTTCGATTCCAAGCCCATCCGGGTCGTGGCTCCTCCCCTCTTTTTCTTAATGTGAATTTGCCCCGGCCGATCCGATTGAGTACTAATTGAAATAGTACGATCGCGACGTGCATGTGCATCCGGATTGGCCGATTAGAAGAAAAACGAGGATTCCGGTGATTCATCCGCTCGGTCTCGACGACTTGCAACGACAAACTTTGACCTTCATGCAGATCTTTCCTTTTCTTTTTCTTTGATCCGGTTGATGGACACAGTAAACGGGAAGTCTCTGTGAAACGTATACGATCTTGAAGCTGACACAGATCCTTTCGAACCGGGTCTTTTTCATCGGAAAATTGCAAACTTCTTGATCCATTAGAGAAATCCCTTCAAGAACTCAACACCATCGTGCGCAGGCCCCACGGTGGGCGCCAACTGTCGTGGAATTGTCACGACAGATGTCCTAGTGTGAGGACTTTGTCATGAGGCCAACGCATCTACGCGGTAGCTTGAAGGGGTTGACCGGAATCGAGAGACGCAACACAAGACAAGGGTTTAGACAGCTTCGGGCCCCGGGGAACATCATCCGGTAATAGCCCGACATGCTGTTTGTGGCTAGGTCTCATTATGCTCATGAGGGAGTCGCTGTAAACCGGCTCTCCTCTCGTTGTGTCTAGCCTTAAGATTGTTTCTTCTTGCTTCCCCCTCTTGGGGTGCCCTGCCCCTCCTTATATATGTTAGAGGGGCGGGTTACATGTGGAGTCATGTTAGGATTAGGACTAGTCTACCTTCTAATACAAACTGGATACAAGTCCAGGTCTTAACTCCTTGTAAGATAAATGTTCCTCACGCCTTTCCTTATAAACCGGCCCACCATAACATGAGCCAGCCTTCTAGGCCTTCGGCCTTATCATCCATCTGAAACACGCATCAGGTGTCGTCCAGTTATTTGCTGTTGTTGCCTTGTCATTGCTTGCGTGTCATGCATTGCATATCATGTCATCATGTGCATTTCTTTTGCATACGTGTTCATCTCATGCATTCGAGCATTTTCCCCGTTGTCCGTTTTGCATTCCGGCGCTTCGTTCTCCTCCGGTGGTCATTTCTACCTTTCTTTCGTGTGTGGGGATTAAACATTTCCGGATTGGACCGAGACTTGCCAAGCGGCCTTGGTTTACTACCGGTAGACCGCTTGTCAAGTTTCATACCATTTGGACTTCGTTTGATGCTCCAACGGTTAACCGAGGGACCGAAAAGGCCTCGTGTGTGTTGCAGCCCAACACCTCTCCAATTTGGCCCAAAACCCACCAAAACCCTCTCCATCATCTCGGTCGTTCGATCACGATCGCGTGGCCGAAAACCGCACCTCATTTGGACTCTCCTAGCTCCCTCTACCTATATATATGTGTGCCTCCCCGAATTTTTCGCGGATGAACCCTAACCCCTCCTCCTCCGCGCGCACCGGACAATTTCCCCCACCCGGACATGTCCGCCCCGCTCCGCCCGGCCAGCCGCCGCTCGCCACCTGTCCCCGCCGACACGCCGCCGCCCGAGGCCCGCGGAGCCCGAACCGGGCCCCCGCGGCCCATCCCGCCGCCGCCGCCGCACGGGCGCCG